TGAGGCAAGGCACGTAACCGAGACCTCCGGGAACTCAAGACGAACACGAACATGGATGATCACCGAGTGTTCGAGCGGTGACGTCCAAGTCTTGAGGACGGTCAAAAATGGAGTGTATACAGTAAGGCTGTCATTTTGGCAAGTTTACACCTCCGACGCTCAGTAAGTTGACTAGGAGAAATTTTACCTAATATACACGACTGAGCTAAAGACTGTAAGCGGTCAGCAAACAAGTGCCTTAATCTGGAATGCCACAAATAGAAAGGACTAGACAGAGAATCTAACTAAAAAAAAGAAAAGACAATCGGAGAGGTAGTCATAGGCAGATGCAAGCTTTCCACCACATAGAGGTCTCTAATTTTACGGCCAGTCCCAATCTGCTACTTAGACATCTGATCTTGCACAGAACAGATAGAAGAAGAAAAGATAACATCAAAGCTAGAGGCATCAAACTGACTGATAGATAATAAACTGACAGATAACTGATGAACATAAAAAACAGATAGAATAAAGACAGCGGACATAACAGATAGTAGGACAGACCGAACAGATATAACAGACATACTAGACCCATTAGCAGCATTGACAGTAATAGGAAAAAGAAGAGGAGTACAATTTTGAAGTAAGGGGAGATGAAGAGTCATATGATGAGAGGTACTAAAGTCAAAAATCCAGACAGATGAAGAAATACCTGAAAAAGACCCAAGCAAACTTGAATAAAGAGAGGAAACAATAGAGGCAGACAGGAATTGCTGGAAGGTAGACAGTGTATGCTGAAATTGACTAATCTGAGCCCTCAAGGAAGCCAAGTCAGGATCAGGAGTCGGAGAAGATGCAGTGGTATTGACGAAGGGACGAAAAGTACTTAAAGAAGGAGCTCGAGATTGGGTTTGAGACTGTTGAAAAGACGTGGCAGACATAGCCAAAGCAGACAAACATCCCTTCTTGGGACAGTGATACTTCCAATGGCCTCGCTGATGGCAGAAGGCACACTCATCAAAAGCCAGAGACATCGTAATAATCAAAGAGATTAGGAGTCCAAGTGTAATAAATCCAAAAACTAATGAGTCAAAATTTAATAATCCCAAACAACTCGAACCAGATTACAACCAGAACCAGATCACACAATATGACACATGCACTGGTACTACTAATGTGGTCAAAGTGTAATAAGGACAAAACCTAGAGAACCAATACAAAGAGATAGAGCTTAGTGACCACAGAACAAAGATCAGACCAAAGACGAAGAGATAGGGAGCTTCGTCAATACCAACAACAAGCAGAGAGCTTCAATCGACACGTAATATTGAGAGATTGCGAACAACAGATGCAGAGACTGAGACCCCGAAGCTGAACCCAGATGATGTCACGACTTCGCTGAGGCAGAGATAGAGACTCGTGATCGCGATCAGACCTAGAGAGATGGAGTCGCGATCGAAATCTGAACCAGAAAAAGAGATGCAAGCTTCAAGCGAGTTTGACGAACCAGAAATCCTACCTACACAGTTCAATTATGAACCACGTGAGCTGATGATGTTGACCAGATGACCTAGAACTTCGAACCAGACGGAACAAGAGAGAGAAAGCTTTAACTGATCGTGAATCGAGAGAGAGAGCTCAATCAATTCGTGATTCAGAAACCAGAAGAAGAATTCATGAATCAAGCGGCTAGGGTTACGAACGTAGCTTTGATACCATGTAAGATTTCTTAATCAAAACTGTATATTCAAATGTGTATGTTTACAAAGAGTGCATCAGTTATATAGCGCTAATCTATAGCAGAAAAAAGAAATACAAAGAAAAGGGAATTGCCTAAAATTGCCTAATTCCTAGTATACCATATATACAATATATATTCTTACAGCGACCTCACGAAGATGGGAGTAGGGTAGCTTGAGCACAAGGGACTCTCTTTCCATTTACCCAGGTCATGGACCTGCGTTGGTTGCATAGGCAGGATCAAGGAAGCCCCCTTAGGCTTGGTACTAAAGCACAACATGGTTGATAGCAGGCTTAGCTGTGACTTTTGCCCTGAGAAGCTGGGGAGTTTGTGGTTAGATGTCTAAGGGTGGAGGTGTCGCTGAGGTGAACACGAATATAGCTGATAGCAGGCTATGAAGTCTTGAAAATGCATGTCTTGGCTAAATCGAATTGAAAAGGCAAGTGTAGCGGCAAATATTACCGCCGCAAGTGCACTTGCTGAGGCATCTGTGCCAAATAGATAGTACATAGACTATGCAGAGGGACTCGTGGCACCTTCAGCCTGGTGGTCCAAGGTAGAATATTCCATGTGATTTGTAGAGACACATGTCCTTACTTTATTTGGCCACTTGGTATCCTTTGGTACCAAGTAAAACCTATACATAGAACCCATTTCTCAAGATCTAAGGAGAAGATTTTTGGGGACTTAGAGAGATACTGCTCATTTATGCACTGTCATTCTCTTCTTCTTGAGCCACTTGCTCCACCCTCACCCAACTACTCAATCTCCAACTTCCCCAGATTTTTGCTAATTCATCCTCCAACCATTCCAGTTTTATTAGACTATTAACATACTTTTACTTCTCTAATCATTTATTAATCACTGTTTACGCCGAACCCTCCTACAACAATTAACAAACTAATCCCTGCTTAAAAAAAAAAAGCGAAATAAGAAACTTAACGAAAAAGACATAATTAAAATAATAAAAAATAAAAACCCAAAGAGAGAAGGGAGAGAGTGAGAAATGTAGAGTTGATAATGAAGTAAAAAAGTCAAGCTACGGTAGGATTTCGTAAATGAAACGTTTGCTTGTTGCTGGACCAAAAACCATGTGGCGAGTTTTCACTGGCACAACTCAACGACCGGACAGCAACAGCACCTTTAAAACCGTAGCAAAACCGCGTCCCAGCACAACCATCTGCTAACCTATTTCCATAGTAATGGTAGAGGTGTTTTCCTAAAACAAAAGAATGAAACTATATGTACTAATTCATATATCAATTAATGTATTAATAGATGATGTGATATAAATTTAGTGATTTAAATCTTTATAATTTGGTAAATATGTATACCTGCAACAAACTGTTTTCTATATTTGGCTTTGCCATTCTACACTAATCTTTGCTTAGAAAAGCCCTTTTCACATAGCAACTTATAAGGTTTTATTGTTGGAATCCACTCCCAGAGAATTTACCAATGTCTCTCTGTCATCCAATTTGTTCTTTTATTTTTTTTTTGCAGTGGATAGTACTCATATACTTTATCTTGTGAAAGAAAGGAATTTATGCTATATAAAAAGGATGGTAGAGGTAACTAACTGTAACAATCTTACCTGGTAAAGAGAAGGAAAAGACGGCTCAACAAAGTGGAAGAATCATAGGTGCCTTCTCAAGACAGGTTTGAGTCATAATTTGACCAAAACTTCAATTACTTATTTATTTTTGCTACACCGGAAAGAAACCAAAACTTCATTCGCCAAGATCCTAGTAAACAGAAGTTCAGAATAGTGGTGGATGTGAACAATGTTGCCCCATGAGGAGTTGAACCCAAAGCCATTTGCTAAACCTAGTAAGAGTGAACTCCCATCCTTGGTGGTGTGGAAGAAAGAACTTGTACAAATGCATGTAAAATTTAACTAGAACTGAACCTTAAGAAGTTAGTCACGTGACAAATCGAGCAATGATAAGTAATTCAAGAAGAAATGTTTGTTACAAGTTTGAATTCTATAAAGCACTTGATCCCCTTGAGAGTCACTTCATGAATCAATGCTCGATAATCACTAGATATATTTGGAACAAAGAGATTATATGAATTTAAAATTAGTGGGGAAAAATTCCTATAACATCATTGTAAAAAACAAAAAAATAGTACAAATAAGGGCCTTTTGAAAGCATCAGACTTAAAAATAAGAACAGCCCAATTTATGCAGCCACTAGAACAAAGGTATCTCTATATCCCATAATTCAATACTATTATATAAAGAGAGAATTTTGAAATGATATATGAGTAAATTAACTTTAACATCTCCTAAAATTTGATAATGGTTAAAAACCTCTCTCAATTGTTTGAACTTAGGAATTGTCAAACTTTTAATCGTGTGCTCACACTTTTTTCATAAATCAAGAACATACCTAATCAAAGCCAAATCTAGTTCCATATGCAATGAATCTGTTATGGCCCATTACACTTTACACAAAGCAGGTGAATTTCAAGGCACAACTCCAGTATTTGCAAATTGAAGAGCTCTACTAAATTGTGATCATCTTCACAAAGTTTCTATACATAGACCAATCCCTACAAAAATCCAAAAAAGTACTGTATGTATGTGCAGATTTGTTATGCATGATGGCATTGTAAACATTTGTAGATGCACACCACACCCCATGGCCTTTTTTTATTTATTTTAAATTTTAATTTTTTTTTAAAACCAAACTCAAGAACCCAAGTTGTTTTTAATTTATTTCTCATACCCAATTGTTTTTGAAGTGTTTTTAATACACAATTTCGAATTTAAAATAGTATCTTCAATAAACAATTTGAATAATAATAATAATAATAATAATAATAATAATGAAGATGATGAATGTCACAAAAATATGAAATGATCTAACGACTTCAGCCAATCTATCTCTTTTTTGTCTAGGGCCTTCATCTCTAAGCCAGTAAGTGGTTATGTTTTGGATAAAAGTTGTTTGATTATCCGAAGACTTTGTGCTCAATTTTTTATTCGAGACGTGTATTGAAATCACAATTTTAATTTAAGTAAGATATTAAAAACACAACTGCAAAAAACAACATCAATTTGAAAAATAAGTTAAAAGACAATTTGGGTTGGAGAAATTTGATCTAAAATGACTTGGCTTTGGTAAAACATTTCTTGCGGATGTTGCTAAATATACTCAATTTCTTTTTACACAGTCCATGCATCAAAAACCTTGTACATGAAGGAGAAACTCCCATTTCTTGCACATCCTGACTACCAAACAAATATAATTGTACATTTTCCACTCACTTATGATGGTTGCCAATTTGGGTAAATAACCCATCAATCACTATAGATTTGAAGCATAATTGTACAGTAAAGATAGTTCCTCATTAAGACGGGTGAGAAATGAGAACATAATTGTCATTTTCTTGGACAAAACAATCACTGAACATAATTGTCGTTTTCCTTTGGACCAAACAAGCAGTGAGGACTGAACTCAACTACAAAACAGTCACCCAGTTCTCTGCAAGACCTTTCATGGGACCAAAAAAAAACGAACTTACTTTGCTTGACACAAGGTATCAAAATTCCCTAATGGTGTCTTGGACATGTGATGCAAGCAAATAAAAAAGGATATGTGATGCAAGCAACTTTCAATTTCTGAGAAATTTCAATTTATTCATTATCCAGCCAGCAAACGCTTCTCTTCCTCTTCGAGTCTTTGCAACCATTTAAATCCAAGATCACATCCAGCTCTTGCAGCAATTTCAAATTGTTCTCTTGCCATCTCCACTGGATTCTCAACAGTACTTGCTGCATCCTTCCCTGATTTTCGGGTGGAGGAACTTCTCTTTGAATTGCATTTTGTCAGAGATTCTGGGACCTCAACACCTGAGACATGCCAGCACACGACTGTAAGAAAAAAGTAGCACAACACAAATTAAAGAAAATGTACTGATTCAAAATGGTTCAGTTTATGCTCACGTTCATCCAAAAGATCTCCAAGGATGAAATGAAAAGGGAAGGCAAAAATTGGATCATCTGATGCGATCTCATAATTGAGATATTTACCTAACAAAATGCATAGAATCTCTGGCATTCCAAACTAACGTGAAATTTTGGGATGTCTTCTTGTTTTGTTTTAGCTTATGCAAACTGATTAGACTGAAAACATTCACCATCTTTTCTCTTTCTTCTTCTTCTTTCCCTTACTAAAAACTGGAAGTTGTGTTTGCTTGTTTCCATTCACAAAAGCTTGAGCATTTTAATGTCTACTTATCTCCTAAGTTACTGTTAAAATGGACTAAAATTTTACAGGGCACTAACAACAGTAGCAAAGGAACTGTTTCCAGTGACAGGGCTGCACTAATTGAAGCACTTGAGTGATGAACTTTGCAGGGTTCATTTCTGTGCCAGTTGAAGCACCGCTTGAAGGGATTTCAAGAGGTGGATCTCCAGAATGAGAGCAACCAAAGTAAGGTTGAAGTTCGTGCAAGCAGTGACTGAATGCTTGCAACCACTCAAATGGACTTCAAGTAGTGGAACTCCATGTCACCATCCGAAGAAGGGTGGATAATTTGATATCTGTTCGAATGAAGGAACAAATACACCGCACCACCCAAAGCATGGCTTGAGCAAAGTTTGAGTGGTGAAGAAACACTTGCTGTATTGAAGGATTCCGGGCACCGATTTCAGTTACATGTGGTCTTTGTTGACTCATGTACCTACCTGCCTGAGAAAGAGTTGATTAGCTGAGCTTGGAAAGGTTCCTTTTGCGTGGATACAACCTTCAAAAAGGGAAGATCGACCTGTTCAAGCTTAAATCCACTTTATTTTGATCTTCTCTATACCTGTTATTGCATATTTCACCTAAGCAATGAATACAGGTTTGATTGCAATGCATGGTTTGACTTCTTCAGCGTCCTCAGTGTGTGAGGATCTTTGCAAGTGATCTCTAGTTATATATAATATAGCTAAAGGTTGAAGACTAAAAGAGTGAAAGAGTTCATTTTGTGTGAAGAAGAGAGAGAACACAGAGCTGTCCTGTACAACTCCACCTCTTGTTCTCTGCTACACTCCACAAACTACCTGAGTTTCTCTCTTTATATTCTTGTCTGGTATCTTGGTTGTGTATATGAATTGAGTATTTTTATTTGTGTCAAGTGTGCGAGTTTTTCTTTGTATTGAGATAGAAAGTGCAGCGAGGTTTCACTCTCATGTTGTTGATCTGCACTTTGTGACGAACCTTTGGCTTTTTATTGTGCATCAGTGTTTTACAAACCCTTGCTTCATGCTAGGCTTGTAATCGGATTGGATTTTATCTTAACCCGACCCAAAAATCTGAACCTGTTAAAGAAAAAAAAATCCAATCCAACAATCCAAACCCGTTTAAACCGATTATTAAAAGGATCAGATATGCTAGAATCCGATCCGATTATCAATTTTTATAAGAAAATAATAGTAACTTCCAATAAAACAAAAGCTACAATTTTGTTACTATGTCATTCTCATTTTTTGCCTCCATAAATTTATATACAAATTCATGATCCAAACTCTTCCTAAGGGCATGTTCGATTAGGAAGAAGGGTAAATTACAAATACACCCATTGAGATTTGCTTAAAATACAAATTGCCCCCTATGATTTGGAAAATTACAAATACCCCATTGTTTGAATTTTTTATTTAACATAACTAACTAAAAAAAAGAAATTCCTATCTACTTTCCTATATAATTATAAAATTACCTAAATTATTAACCAGAATATATTCCTGACATCATTAAAAACTGTTAATTTTCTAGATAATTTATTAATAAAAAAGGCTATTTGTTATGAAATTAGAAACTTTAAGAAGCGAGATGTCATTTTCAAAATTACAGGGGTAATTTGTATTTAAAACAAATCTTAGGGGGTGTATTTGTAATTTTCCAAAGAAAAATGATAATGGAAAGTAAACTAGAAAAAAGTAAAAGAAAAAATATATAAATTTTTGCATGTATTTATTTCAAAAGTTGTGGATATACTTTTTTTTAGGATTATCATTAGAATATTAGCTATGCAAGTTTTTAACTATCTCTTCTTTTGTTCAAATTGGAATTCTTTGTATATATATATATATATTTTTTTGAGGTGCATATGTTTGGTTCATGATTTTTACCCTACTTATTTTTCCCAATGAATACATTGGGTTGGGTCTATTAAATATCTATGATTTTTTTATTTTAATTCATATTGTTATAATGGGGGTGTTTGGGAAACCAAGTTTGAGGCTAAAATAGCCTCAAACACTAAAAAAACCAAATAACCTCAAATAGTACCCTAAACTAATAATTTATATTTAAAATAAAAAAATAAAAAACAAAGCAGCCGGCAGTGGGCAGCCTACACTGTCACGTTGACAGTGTAGGCACAGTGTAGTGCCAGCCTAGTCCCACAGGCTAAAATGGCAATTTTGCTCCTGTAGACCAATTTTGGAAAAAGTGAGGTTAGGGACAAATTTGTCATTTCAACCTTAAACATTATTTCAAACACATTTTTCAATACAACAACTCAAATAAAAATCCATCCTATCTTCCGAAACACAAACTAAAATAGCCTACTAAAATAGCCAAAAAGCCTCTAAAATAGTCATTTCCCAAACACCCACAATATTGGTAATGGATTTTTCTAAAATTCTAATCCATTTTGGTTGCAAAGATAATATCTAGAACCCCCAATTTGCATAAAAGAAATAGAGTAAAAAAACAAAAAATCAAATTATTAAACTGTTTAAAACCATAGCTCAAAAAAGCGAAAAACTAAATGGATCAAATCGGATATCTAAAATTCTTTGATTCGGATTTGGGTCATCTATAATCAGATACGACATATGTGGATTTGGATCGGATTCGGGTTGTGCCTTAATCGGATCGGATTCAGATTTTGACAGATTCAATCCGTTTATAGGCCTACTTCATACACCTAGTTGGTAACGGTGATTTATTTGTAAGTAAGCCAAGCTTTTTTCTTTGAAAACTCAGTATCCGGTCCACTAGACCGACCAATTCGGGAGATCAAACCCACCATCCACTAGCAAGGGGCCCAATCAAAGCCAGGGAAAAGCCCCGTATAGACTGACCCCAAGAAATTATTTGCACCTACGAGGTTTCGAACTTGAGAAGGGAGCACACCCCCATGCCCCAGGCCTTGACCACCAGGCCAACCCCTCGGGGTTAAGATCTAAACTCGTAAAACCAGCGAGTTTGTTTCTAAACTGCACTCATTGCATATGGCCAATTTTTCATTAGAGCCATCACTACAGAGCTGAATCTGAATCTTGTGAGGTTCAGTGGAAGATAAAATTCACAGTCAAGAGAAGGCACTTAGCCACTTGTGTAGTGGAGATCGAACGGGGTGTTCGTGGTGTTGAGGGTTCAAGTTGCGAGTGCTTCCTAGGTGATGAGTTGTAAGTCACCCAACTTGAATCTTGTATCATTCTCTTGATATATTGGATTGCTTTACTGGCATAAGTGCCCACGGTTTTTTCACCTTGAGAGGGTTTCCATACATTCCTTGTGTCATCGTGGATGAAGTTCTTGTTATGACTTTATCTTGCTCAACACTAGCACACAAAAATCATTGTGTGGAATACATTGGTTGGAAAATTCACTGTCAAAGCCTATTCACTCCCCTCTAGGCTTGTTTGGTTATCCATTACACAATTTCATAAATAATCTCCCTCGTGGAATCATATTGTGAGCAGTGAATCTCATTTTCATATTAATCATATAAAACGAATATTAAGTTGGGAAGAGCTAACCTCTTAGAATAAGGGATCCATATGCTATAGCTGCACCAGCATGTCCCTGCAAATGTGAAGAGAACAAAATAAGACGTCTTCAAAAACAATAGAACTTTATCCATAAGTCAAATCCTGCAGAAATGGACAAGAATATTCGATTTCAACTTTTGAAATTGGTTTGGACACAGCAAACTCCCTACATCAAGATTCTGAGTATTTGTCTATTGTACAGTTGATCTTATTGGGCATGATACTTCATAAATTGAATACAGCATGCTTGCAAAAAATTAAAGAGAGCTTTAACAACAATAAACATGACAATTTACAACTTCACTTTTTTCAAAGTTTGTTTGTGTCCTTTTTTTTTTTTTTTTTTTTTTTTTTTTTAGGATGGTAATTGATAACTATACGGTAACTAAATCTTAATTTTCTTTATAGAAGCGTGTTAGATCCTTTCAGTAGTTTTCACATTTTTTAAGTAGAGAGGTGGACTTTTTTGAAGGTGAACAAACTAAAATCACTGAATAGTTGCCCACCAACTCATCTAAAAGCTTAAGCTGTTAGAGAGAGGGACAACTTTATTATTTATATTATATTTCCAACACTGAAAGAACTGTCCTCTATGTCATGATTCAAAACTCATGCTTTTTCACAATTGTTTTTTTTTTTTTCTTTTTTTCTTTCTTGAAACCAGACAGTGTAAGCAGTTATAAGTCGTGTACTACTTCACTGTCTGGCCTAGAGGGCAGATATGACATTTCACTCAGAAGATATAAAACATCACAAGTGGCTCATACACAGGCATGGCTAGGATAAGTAGCAGATCCCACATATTGTTTCATTACTGGTCACTAAAATCTCGATGTAAAAGTTGATCCAAGTGCTTTAGAGTCATGCATAAAAGGAATTGAGTCAGATTCAAGTGCCTGCCTAATACTATGCTCTTGAGTCTTATGATGTTTCCAACTGAGCAAATATATTCCTGTTTAAGTTAGAATTCCCAACATAGACATAGAGCAGATTCAATAAATGGTTTATAACAATATCTAAATCCATAGCTACAAATATTATAAAGGGGAGAAACTATAAACACCAAATTGAGTATATAAACAAGAGCCTTTGGATTTACATAGCATTCTTAGATTCATTAAAATTCACCAATGGACTGGAACAAGACTTCTCTTTTGGATAGCCAAATTCAAGTTACAATTTGGATAAAAAGCTCTTTTAGGTAGTTCATGAGACTCAATTATCTATAGCAAAACATTGCCTACTAAGGATTTTTAAAAGTTTAAATGCAAAAAATTGAAAGGCCAATTTGGCAATCTATTTCAAAATGCCAAAAATACTGTTGATTACTGACTAACGTATGTTATTCAACAATACAAATCCACTATTAAGTTATCAATAACATTTCAATGAACAGAGAGATCAGTTTTTTAAACCTTCTCTGATGCTCTATGGAAACACCATAATGCTGATGCAACATCTTTCTTCACACAGTCGCCTGTCAAATATACAGCACCTAGAAGGTAAAGAGCACCTGGATGCAACTAGAACATAGAAATCTCCAATGAGATTCTGAGACATATCTGGAAAGCATTCTTAGTATAAGTGTGATTTTGGGAAACATACTTGATCAACAGCCTTCTCCAAATAATAAAATGCTTGCTGATCTGATTGAACGTAATCATTCTATTCAAATACCAAGCTAAGGAAGATCAGAACATCATCATCATCATCATCATCATATAATAATAATAATAATAATAATAATAATAACAACAACAATTTAGAGAATCCAGATATTTCCACTTTGAGAAAGGTACAGAAACAAATGAATGATCACAACCATCAGTAGCTTGTGAACCACATAGCCTCATAATTGTACCCATAAAAAAATAAAAAATCGACAGTGATAACATGAAAATCAAAGGAATTGCAACTACAACCAGCAAATTATGATACTATTAATTGGATTTCACTGGGTTAGGACTCAACAAGCTATATGGGTTCATAACTAACTGCCTCTGGTATTTTTCTCTTGCATAACCAACGAGGCATATTTTTCTCATCACTACTGCCTCTTATTAGATTAGCCAACTATTTCATGTTCTGTGCCTCCTGATGTCAATATAGAACCCAAAGAAGATTAATGCTAAATAATGCAGCACCCATGAGGACAGACAATCATTGATCACAGATAAATGCCAAGAGAAGAGATAAAAGGTCCATAAATTGATGTCAACAGTAGTATAATACTGTAATGGAAGTATCAAAAACCAATAAAAGTGGCTCAATGCAAAAGCAGGCTATTGAATCTCTTTTGTTGAAAGTCCAAGAGGTTTAACTAAGCCAAAGAATTGATCATGTTTCTAACTATATAATGGTTGATATATGTATTAGTTGAAAACTCATGCACAGCAAGCCTAACCTCAACTCTCAGCTGGCAGCCCAGTTCATATTGTGCATCTGGATCACCCATATCTGCAGCTTCCACTAACAAAGCAGCACCTCTATTATGATGAAAAAGGCAAAGGGGGTTAATTATGTATTTAAGTGCATGCGGATGAACAAATACAGGTAACAAAGATATATAAAGACGTTTTGCAAATGATAGAACATAATAAATCAAAACATTAGATATTCAAATACCCTGGGCAATGGGAATAGATATGTGATCCATGAAGAGATAGAGGCGAATTTTAAAACTTTTTCTATTTTGCTTGTCTAGAAGCCTTTACCATAGCAAGTTAGAATGCAGATCACTATTTCAAACTGAAGAACAAAAACCATCATATATAAAAGTGAGAAGTTCCTTACATGGCTTTGCATGCCCCCGGGACATGGTATTTGAGATGCAATTTGGACAACCAATATCTAGCATGGGTGTTCGAATTGTCAGCCTCCAAAGCCAACTCAAAGTTCTCCTTTGCTGTCTGCAACGAAACCAGCACAAGAAATTGAGAGAATGTTATCACAAATTTTCTCCATGGCAAAAATTCTGCAGCAGAATGAACTAGAAAGCTGAATAGAGAAGTAGAATTTATCAAATTAGTGAAAGGAGAGTCAAATAACTGAACAACAATTGATGACAGTAAACCAAAATAACATAAGCCCAAAACAAAGATGGAAAAGGCTAAGAAAACACATTTTGAAAACCCCCTCCAAGCATCTCAAGATTAAGACGGTTTTATAGTTCAGAAATTGACATCTCCTATGTGCCAAACGTGAGAAAAATGATTTCATCAATCTTAGGATACTGGCATACAAACAAAGATACACCCATACAAATTAAAAGGGAAATGCTAAAGACTGCCCTTTGGGTGGTGGTTAATGTTAGCTTATGTGTAAAAAAAATGTATTCAAATATGTGAAAAATGTACAGAAATATATGAGAATATGTGAAAATGTGTATTGGAATTCTATTTTTTTGGGGTCATTATTTGGTCCTTAACGAACACCTAGTGGCCGGTTGTTAGCAGGACCTAAATTAAAAATTTGGAAAAATAATAAGACTATGCTTTCATATTAATTTTACCCGGAGGAGAGGGATAAGACGTTTGTCCTTAAGTTCTGCATAATCAATGACTCTATCAACTTCCTTCAAGGCACTCCAACCTTTGGCTATTAACTTCATTGCCTTCTTATTTCTACTATGCAGCGCTCTCTGCCAAAGAACATAACAATACAAGTTTAAAAATTAAAAATAAAAAAATAAAATAAAAACGAAAGAAAGAAAGAAAAAATCAATAGGAACAAAATGAGAAAGCAGAATGACTGACCCATTGATTGAATAGTAGAAGATGATGACTGTTCTGCTTCAGAGTACCCTTAACAAAGAATGACCTCAACATAGGCTTTTGGTTTACTTTTTTTTTTTTTTTTTGTTTTTGAAGTACATTAGTTAGTGTGATTTGTAGGTTGTGGGTGAAGTCTTAACAAGGTGGAAAGAGACTGAATGGTGAGCTTTTTGATAAGTGTATAGGTAGTGTTATTGCACATGGTTAAATTTGAATGCAAGTGTTTATTCATTCTCTTCATGGGTTTTAGGTTCATTGAAGGAGACTTTGATGCGTATGTGGAAAGAATTCGAAAACCTTATGTATGGGGTGGAGAGCTTGAGTTACTGATGGCATCCCATCTTCTCAAGTGAGTTCTATTCATCATTCAGAGGGATCATTGAACAAGTCATCATCATCATCATCATCATCATCAATGCACAAGTAAAATGCATTCAGTATTCCTAATCAACTTCCAAATATATAAATTAAGAGTAAAATGTAATCTGGAATTTGTAAAAGACTATGAGACCAAGTTCCAAAAGCTCAAAACAAAAAGCAAATGAGTCCTCAGATATTCAGTATGTGACAAATTTTGGCTACATATATATACTAGCAGTAAGCACAAACAATAGGTTAACTTGAATAGCATTTCTAAGTGTCAAAATTTGAAACCCTAGGTCCTATAAACTGCCAAAAACTGGTTGAGAGAGAGGGAGCTGAGCTTGCCTGGGTGCGTCACCGGCCAAAGGGGAAGGAAATTTTAGTCTGAGAGAACGATGGCACCACACGCTGCAAATGGCAACAAATTTTTTTTTTCGTTTGCGGTTATATTTTCCAGCGGTCACATTTGTAGAAATATTAATAAAACAAACAACTTTAGGCCCCGCGAGATGGAGGGAAATTGTGATTGATAGTGATGTGAGAGTCATTAATGTTGTGTTTATTTTAAGAGATGTGGAGGGAATTAATAGTGAGCTCCGGATTAGGATGTGCCTCCTCAAAGGGATTCGGATGGACCTGCAAGACTGGGTATGAGAAAAATAGTCTGGCGGACTAGAAATTTTTTATTTTATTTCTTACATGTCGGACATTTTTTTTAACATTAATATTTAATTTTTTATATTTTTTGTTAAGTAAAAATTATTATTTTATTTTTTTCTAGAAATTTTTTATTTTATTTTTATTTTTTTAAAATTTTTTACATGTTGGACATTTTTTTTAAAATATTAATGTTTAATGGTTTTGTATTTTTTTTATTTGTTTTATTATTTTATATAAAAATAATTTAACAATCCCTACACTAACAACTATCATCAAAACAAGCACAATTTTACTTAATCCCCTCACTATCAATCCCATCCATTCTATTTCTAAAAACAAACGGGGTCTTAGTTCCTACTTTTTAGGATTGGTTTGGACAGTGGTTGGCTTTTTTATTTTTTTTTATTTTTTTTTGTCTAAAGCTAAAATGTCTCGTTTAGAAAGGACTTTTGACTTTTGTAGTTTTTTTCGTAAGAGGAAAAATATAATGATTATAAATTGAATGTGATATTTTGTCTTATTAAATTAAAAAAGTCTATTTTATTTTTTTGTAAGTAAAATAACCAAAAAAACCCTAAACTTATGCACTGTTTGGTAGAGTTTTTAAAGTTTATTTTTCAAAACACCCACTTTTCAACATTATATGTCATATCACTCAATTCAAACTCTTTTTAAAACTCACAATCAAACAAATTTTCTACACTTAAATCATAATTTCAAAACTCACAAACTCAAAATACAACTCTATTCTTAAATCATAATTTTAAAATTCTACCAAACGCAATTCCCAATCGAAGTCTCAGTAGATTCATGAGACATTTGGTATATATATACAATTTTTTTTTTTGGTCAGTTTTGAGATCTCTAGCATGGACTAAATAGTTAGTAGCTAAAAAAAATGAAAATTATTTTTGGAGGCTAAAAGTTTAGTAGCAAAAAAAAAATCAGACTTTAGGTGACTAAAATGTTTAGAAGCTAAAAAATGGCAAACAAAATAACAAAAATATTTTGGCGACTAAAGGGATGGCTTTCTTTTACTCAAAAATGATTTTGAAAGAAAATGAAGTTTTGTGATTAACACGTGCAGGTTAGGAGTTAGAGCTGAAAACGCCTTAAACTTAGTTGAAAAAGGGCATTCAGGGGGCGAAAATACAAAATAACCCCCGAACCACCGTATGGATGTCACGGGCAGAATCCTTGTGAAAAATAGGACTTGTGGCCACGGCCGACATGTAATTAACAAGCGTAGGTTGAGAGTTAGAGCTGAAAACACCTTACACTTAGTAAAAAAAAAGGCTTTTAAGGAGCACAAAAATGCAAAATAGACCCCGAACTGTTGTATAGATGTCATGGGCACCTTTATAGTGACAAATAAGACATGTGGCAACAAACGACATGTAATTCGCAGGTGTAGGTTGGGAGTTAGAGCCTAAAACGCCTTAAAATTTGTCGAAAAAGGGCGTTCGAGGCCGTAAATACAAAATAGCCCCCAAACTCTTTTGTTCTTGAATTTTACACACTTTCCCTTGTTAATATATGTCTGCGTAATGAAACTACATAAATCTTCATAGAAGGAAATGAATTGTGACCACTTTTTAGCTAGAACAAACATACATGTAATGTAATACCAAATTTGAAGAACAACAACAATGATATTTTCTCCCCCCCCACACACACACACACACACACACACACACACACACACACACACACAAACATTTGAGTTGGTCATTAAAAAATAAATAAATGGGTCAATCAGGGTCTTTCCCAATGGGGGTACAAACCACTTTCCGTCTTATATTTCGTTATTTAACAATGGCCATAGGAGAATAGGGAGATGAGAAATTGAATCACGCAACAAGACAAACTTAAACTCAAGAAATCATATTTGGTAAGAAAACACTTCATTTATTGACCAACCCTTAGTCATATTTAATCTAATTTTTTTTTTTTTAAAAATGAGATTATTTAAACATTCTAAAAAGATGTGAGATTGTTTAAATATTTCAAAAGAAATACAAAAATTACTTAGTAAGTTTTGGTCAAATGTATAATTTCAAATTATCATAGTCCAATATAGCACTCAAACGTAACACAAAAAATAAAAAATAAAAATAAATAAATAAATATCGTAGTGTTATACCCTATGTAACACATAAAAAAAACTCTTTATTGTATTTTTTCTAAACGTAACACTCTAAAAAAATCCTTAGTATAACGCTCTAATATAACACATAAAAAAATTTCTCATTGTAACACCCTAATGTAACATACCAAAAACTCCTTAGTGTATTTTTTCTAAACATAATACTTTAATGTAACACACAAAAACTCTTCAGTGTAAAATTCTAATATAGCACACAAAAAAACTCCTTACGTACTTTTTTCAAATGTAACACTTCAATATAATACTCCAAAAAAATTCTTTAGCTTAACACTTTATGTGTACTTTTCCCAAACGTAACCCTCCTATATAATACAAAAACAAAAAAAAAATTCTTAGTTTACTTTTTCTAAATGTAACACTCCAATGCACACTAAAAAAAAAAAAAAAAAATGGTGAGATTTTTCAAATCATTCCAAAAAGAGTACAAATATTTTTTAGTAAGTTTTGGATAAAAGTATAATTTCAAACTATGAATGTTACGTTTGAAAAAAGTACAGAAACGAGTTTTTTTGGTACTTTTGTGTGTTACATTTGAGTATGTTACATTGGAATGTTACTGTTGGTTGTATAAATTGTAAAAGCCAATCACAATTCAACACGTAACATGAATGGGGGCAATTTAGGGAGTTAATACAAGTTGTCAATCAAAGTTAGACACGTGTCAGCCCGTATTGATAATAATGGATCTACGTAGCATTGGAACAATCGAGGAATATAATGTGATGTGACCTAACGGTTACTCACAAAGTTCAAATTCAAAATCAGGAGGGAAGCCTAACTACAAATGTACCGTAGTGGGACTAACTGTGAGAGAGCATATTCAATAATCATGGGAGGACAGTTCGATGGTTAGAAGTCCACTTCGACTGTTATCATTGAGAAGTATAAATAGTAGAGAAGGCCATAGAGTGGAAGATCCAGACTCAGATCAAAAACCCAGTTTTATTTACTTTGTTTTCCCTTCCAATTTTTACAGTTCTTTCCATTTCTGTATTTCAAATTCCTGTACTGCACTTCATTCATAGGAGTAGTTTCAAATAGCTTGTTGTTGTAAACCTCTACGAGGCTGAGTCAGATCATTGTAAGTTTTTCATTTTTACTTAATGAAATTCTGAAATTATTCTTTACTTAATTGTTATTTACTAAATTCTCTTAAACAAACCACTAGTAAAAGTCTTCTTTATTGAGGCTGAGAGAACTAAAACACAATCGTTTGATAATTGGTTGGTAATTAATCTTTTGTAAGGATTGATTGATCCTTACTGGCACGTTTAAAATTGCAATATTAACCTTCGAAAGCCAAAAAAGCCAACAGTTACGTTTGGGATTACATTGATTGGAGTGCTACGTTTGGGAAAAGTATACTAAGATTTTTTTTTTTTTTGGTTACATTGGAGCGTTACGTTTGAGAAAAATACACCAAGGAGTTTTTTTTTAGTGCTACGTTGTTACGTTTGAGAAAAGTAAACCAAGGAATTTTTTAGTGTGTTACATTGAAGTGTTACGTTATTGGAGTGTTATATTAGAGTGTTAGTTTTTTGTTCATAATGTGGGATTTGTTATAGAATGAGGGAAAATCCAAAACTTCTATAGTGCAAATTGCTTAAATGTGTAATTTTACATTTTGAGAAACCCACTTTTATCTCTCAAAAATTAAATTCAAACATAAAAGTGAGTATCTTTTTATATAATTTTTACTTTAATGGGACCTTTGAGTCTATAAAAAAAGGAATGACTAAACAGTTTACAAGACCACATTTTGAGATTTGTTGGTGCTTCACTTTTTTTTTTTTTAACTATTAAATCCAATATAAGTATATATAAAATGTCTCAAATATTATTTTTTGTTGAGTTTAATGACTAA